AACCAAAGATGCTGGTTTTTTACCATAGTGCAACCCATAACTCTTGGTGTATCGCAAATAATTTAATACCCTTGTTATGGCTTTTCAGTGTGTATGACCTGGATTACTTGTGTAACGACTTAACACGTTGACAGCATGTGCAAGGTCTGGTCGTGTACAATTTGTTAAGTACATTAGACTGCCAATGACCCTTGCATATTCCACTTGTGAAACAGCTTCACCTGAGTTCTTTGTCAAGTGTAGTTGCGAATCCACGGGAGTCTTCGCAGTTCCGTTTGAGTAGGCCTTGAACCTCTCAAGAATCTTTTCAGCATAATGACCTTGAGACAGAGTGATGCCTTCAGAGGTGCGTGTAATCTTTATTCCAAGGATAACATCCGCAAGACCCATGTCTTTTATGTCAAACTGAGCACTAAGCATTGTTTTGGTTTGTTGGATGATATCATTGTTACTTCCCATGATGAGCATGTCATCAACGTATAAACACAACACTATATACCTGTGAGGAGTACTTTTGATGTAGATGCATTTATCACACTCATTTATGCTGAAACCATTTGACATCATTACATTGTCAAACTTTTCATGCCATTGCTTTGGAGCTTGTTTCAGACCATACAATGATTTCACAAGTCTACAGACTTTGTGTTCTTGACCCGGGACCACAAATCCTTTGGGTTGCTTCATGTAAATCTCCTCTTCTAGATCACCGTTTAGAAAAGCCGTTTTTACATCCATCTGATGGATTTCGAGTCCTCTTAGGGCTGCAACTCCTATCAGAATTCTTATTGAAGTTATTCTCGTTACTGGAGAATAGGTATCAAAGAAATCTAGACCTTCTATTTGTCTGAATCCTTGAACCACAAGTCTGGCCTTGTACTTCTCAATCGAACCATCAGTTTTCAACTTGGTTTTGAATATCCATCTACACCCTAGTGCTTTGAAACCTTGAGCTAAATCAGTGATCTCATAAGAATGATTCTGCATTATAGAATCAGTTTCACTATTGACTGCTTCTTTCCAGAAAGATGCATCAGGTGTAGACATGGCTTCTGTGTATGATCTCGGCTCATTCTCTGTGAGAAATAACATTAAGAAATCATCACCAAAAGATTTTTCCTTGCGTGCTCTTTTGCTACGTCTAGGTTCATCTTCTTCATATTCTGTTTCATCAACTGAAATTCCAGAAGTGCTCTCCTCATTTACAGAGATGCTAGTGTCTCTTTCATCATGAGTGCGTTTCTTACTTTGTTTCTCTTTGCATGGAAAGATGTTTTCAAAGAAAGATACATTCCTAGATTCCATTACGGTGTTGACATGGATGTCTGGTACATCTGACTTATGTACTAGGAATCGATAAGCACTGCTATTATGTGCATATCCGATGAAGATGCAATCAACCATTTTAGGTCCAATTGTCAGCTTCTTAGGAGGTGGCACAGCGACTTTTGCTAAGCACCCCCCCCCCCACACTTTGAGGTATTTGTACGAAGGTACAGTTCCTTTCCAAAGTTCATATGGCGTTTTGCCAGTAATCTTGTGTGGAATGTTGTTGAGGATGTAGTTTGTGGTGAGCAGCGCTTCCACCTACAGATTCTGGGGTGTCCCAGATTCCTGCAACATTGCATTCATCATCTCGTTCAGAGTGCGATTCTTTCTCTCTACAACTCCGTTAGATTCTGGTGAGTAGGGAGCGGTTGCTTGATGTATGATGCCTTTTTTCTTGACAGAAAGCGTTGAAAGGTCCATCATACTTTCCTCCTCTATCACTTCTAACCATCTTAATGGTTTTTCCCAGTTGGTTTTCAACGTTGAGCTTGTACTCTTTGAATTTGTCCAAGACTTCATCTTTACTTCGCAATAAGTAGACGTAACAGTATCTTGTGCAATCATCAATGAAAGTCACGAAGTACTTCTTACCACCCCTTGTTTGTATATACTTTAAATCGCACAAATCAGTGTGGATTAAGCCAAAAGGTTCGGTTGTTCTTTCAACATGAGGAGATGGTGTTTTTATGAGTTTTGATTGTACATAAACTTCACACTTGTCTTTGCTAATTTTGCATTTGGGGATTAAGTTCAAATTCATCAGCCTTTGTATAGACTTATAATTCACATGTTCTAATCTTTCATGCCAAATATTAGAAGACTCAACCAAATAAGCAACTGGTTTCTTATTCTTAACATTTTTGGAAACAGGTACATCGTTTTTATTGAGGACGGTCATTACACACATTTTGACCAATCCTTCCTTAACAAATCCTTTTCCAATGAAAACACCATTCTTCCTAAGAATCAGCTGGTCAGATTCGAAATTGATTGCAAATCCGTGCTTGCTCAGCAGCGTGACAGAGATCAGATTTTTCCTCATGTCTGGAACATGCTTCACGTTTGAGAGCGTGATCTCCATTCCTGATGTCATCTTTAGCACCACCTTTCTGGTACCTTCAATCTTGGAGTGGGACACGTTTCCCATCAAGAGATGTTCATCAGTTTTGGTCTTTTGATAGGTTGAACATATCTCTATCAATTCAGATGTGTGTGGTAGCGCCAGTATCGTACCACCATGCCCTTGGGTTTTCTTGTTACAACTGCGCACAGATCAACTTGAGTTAGGTTGGCTTAATTAACACCCTTGGCCTTACTGCGACAGTCTGTAGCACGATGTCCCATCTTGCCGTAGTGGTTACACTTCCCAGAGAACTTCTTATTAGGAGCATGAGCTTGCTTCTTGAAGTTCGAGGGGGCTTGATTTGCAACTTTGTGAATCGCAGCCTTTGGAGGAAAGCCCTTTCCTTTCCCCTTTTTCTTAAACTCAGCCACATTTGTGTCATGTGTCTGAGGTGGTTCAGCCTTGTCATGTTTTTGTGACTCATTCTGAAGCCTGGTAATCACTTTAGCCAACAAAAGAGGCTTCTGCTTGTAGTTGAGGTAGCTCTTGAAACCATCCCAGCCTGGGGGCAGCACCTCAATGAAGCAGTTAACCGTGAAGGTCTCACACAGCTTCATGCCTTCATCTTATATTTGCTGGAATAGCTCATGCACATGATCCATAAGAGGCCTTGAGTCTACCATTCTGAAGTTAAGGAGTTTTGCAGTTGTAAATTTTCCAGAACTCACGTTGAAGGTCTTGTATTTGTTTTCGAGAGCAATCCAGACATATCTGGAAGTCTCATAACCTTCACTGTACAGCCCGTGCAGCTGATCTGCAAGGTTATTCAGGATGTAACCTTTGCACTAGAAGTCCGCATGGATCCACGCTTGGACAGTAGCAAGCATGTGCGGATCTATATTCTCAGCAGGAAGCACTGGCTTAGTCTCAGTGAGATACTTTGCCAGGTGCAACATGGACAGAAAGAAGTGCATCCGCTTCTGCCACTGCTTGAAGTTTGTTCCATCAAACTTTTCAGGTTGAAGTCCAGCGGGTGGAATCGATGGAACCGTGTGTGGTAGACCATTCCCTTGTGGGAGTGTCAGCTCACTTGTGTTCTTCGGAAGTCCAACGTCAGTAGACATTCTGAATCTAATCACAGAAAACGAACTAGGTTAGTTTTTGAGATCTCAATCCAGAAAAGTGATTAAAAATGTTTAATTCGCTATTAATTTGTTCACAGAAATCGCCTAGAAGCGTTCTTAAACCCTAAAAGTCGTTCCCAGAAATCACCTAAAGGTGTTCTTAAACGCTATGTTTCAGATCTATGAGATCGTTTATAAACAAACGTTTCGCGATCCTGCCTAGGGCTGACGCGGAAATCATTTTGTGTCTTTTATGATAATCGTCTGTTTTTAAGATCAAACGTTCTACGGTTGGTTATAAGACAATCGCAAAAGCGTTGTAGATCGATCAGAAAACATTGTAAAATCGTTTTATGAAATCGTTTTTGAAGTATTGTTCGCAATATTCAATCCGATTCAAGCGATTGGCAGGAAACAGATTTAAAGAATTAAGATTGTAGGACCGCGAAAATCCAGTTGGAAAATTACGAATATAAAACGATTGAAATCAATAATAAATGATAATAATTTATAAAACGTTATGATAAAGCCTTTTAAGGAAAGACGATACACAGAGTCGAGATATGATATATTTCCTTAATTCTTTAAATCTCCCGCAGTGTGGCGGTTTGAAGAGATTCAAAATCCCAGGATACAACCGTGTTGAGACTAAAGTCGCAGCACCCGACTATAGAATCTGCGAACTTAGAATATACGCTATACTCTCGAGACTCACCTAAGACTGTAGAGACGAGAGGGATTTGTTGGATATTTGTGTTTGAAAGCTTATTGCTTTTCTGGATGATGAATAATGAATGAGAGAGGTCCTTATTTATAGTAGAAGAGAGGCTTGTGGCGCAAGGCATTTACCTTTTTACTCACGCAAGATAAACGGAAATATTCTGAATATCTTTGTTCCTTGTTCGACAAGGTTAAGGAAAAACGGAAATGTTCCGAAAAACTTTATTCCTTGTTTGACAGAGGAAACATAAATATTCCAAAAATCTTTATTCCTTATTTGGCAAGGATAAGAGAAATGGAAATATTCTGTAAAATAATTCGACTCAATCAATAAAGATTTATCGATATTATACCAAATTATAAATGTAATATTGACAATTTTATTAAATAAGTCAATAAAGATTGATTCCAAAAAAAAAATTCTTTTATGGTTTTGCATAATAGCCTTCCAATGTGTGACAAATGCACATCTTAACTTGTAGTCTTGATTACATGTCCACTTTGACCATTGATTTCTTATTCAAATTAACTTTGATTTTGACAAGTAATTACACTGTCTATTAATGCTCATTACAAAGATTTCAAAGAATCCATAATTGCCAAAAATTAAGTTCCAACATCATCTATGTTACATCCCGTGGCCATGGTCGACGGATACAGCAAGCTCAACTTAATTTATAATAGTAGATTCAATAATCGATCAATAAGTCACATATACTACATGCAATAGTTATTTGATGTGTGGTAATTAAATTATTATTTACCTTACTATCGGACCGACGATAAGATATTGGATCAACAATGTTAAGCTGAGGAATGATCTCTTTGTTTCGGTCAGCAATTATCATCGGGTAATTCACCTTGCTTCCAGGCTATATTAATTATATATGTCACACAAGAAAAATATATAAAAGTGTTATTTTGGTAGATCAATCAAAACGAAAATATGATCTTTAGCTAGCTTAGATTAAATACTAATCAGTTTCGTATTGTATGTATGCATGAGATTTAAGTATATACCGTAAACAGGCTCGGCTCAAAAGGGGTGGGCAGAGGTGCGATGGCCCAGGGGATTCCACATTTTTGTAGAAACCCTATGTGATAAAGGCCTAGTTTTTTGTGTTTTCTTCATTAAAGGGCCTAATTTTTTGTTTTCTTTGCTACTAAAAGGCCCAAATTTGTTTTCTTTGCATACTAAAGGGCAAAAAAAATAGAAAAAACATAGTTTAATTCTAAAGTAAACCTAACATTCAGTTCTAATTTTAATAAAAAGCCCAGATAATTTTTTAGCCCTAGGGACCTAATTTTTACTGGGCCGGGGCTGACCGTAAAGGCTTTCATGTCGTTGATCCGGTCTTTGTGTGGCTGTATGTCGTCACAAGACAAACCAAGGAGCTTCATACCTCTCCGCTCGAAGTACATGACCATAGCACCAAGCTTCGTCGCATACGGTTGTGAAATCCCTGAGTAACCGTCAAAGTTGAAATGGTGGATCAAAGCAAAATAATTAGAATTGTAACAAAATTAATAAATAAACATAAGAAAATATCTTGAACATGCATGATGCTAATTTCGGTTCAATATATGAATAACGGATAAATCAAAGTATAGGAACGTTCATAGATACCGGGATGAGAGAAGAGGACGGTCCAAGAATCCGCGAGGAAGTCATAAATCTTGAAATTGTAAAGTGTTGTCTCCACCTCAAGATTCGGCATAGTTTCTCCGAGTGTGTGATCTTGACGTTTTTCTCTTGATATACGAATCTATTATATTATATGCTGATGTGTATGGATATGGTATTAGGGGAAATTGAGTTGATGATCGGTTAAATAGAGAGAGCTCATAAACTCACGAAAAAGAGTGACGGAGAGAATTTTGGTAAAAAAAATGTAAACTCTACCAAATTATTGATTCAATATAGTTTTCACAAAAACAAAGATATAGGGCATTTTATCCAATTTATATAAAAAAATTTGGTATCATTCAAACTAGTGATCATTTGATTCAGTCCAGTGATGTATGTTCAATGTATTCTAATTCTGTGTTTCTTTTTGTTATACGGAGACCTTGCGGAGCTTCAAGATCCTGATCTTGTTTCAACTATTTAGAAAACAACAGAAACGAATATCCTAGAATTTGGGAAAAGGATTGGGTATCATATCTCAACATTCGAGTTGTGGCTGCTTTTTTCATTTTATTGACATATTGTATTCCAAATTCAGCATTCAGTGTTGGGCCCAAATTTTGAAAGCCTTTGAGCTTTGAAAAATATTGGCAAAAATTGAACAGAAATAGGCTCAAGCCCAAATGAATGAAGAAATAAAAAATGTGAGAAAAGATGTGTTAAAGTCCCACATCAAAAATATGGAGAAAAACACTCCACTATATAAGGAGAAAGAGATTAGCTTGGTTCAAAATGGCTAACACTTATGGTGTACATGTGAGAGGTTGGATCAGGTCTGGGCGCGGGTCAAAGTTGAAAATATTTTTTCTCAACCGAGTCAAAAGATTTTTCTCAACTTCCGCTCACTTCCCCTCTTCACGTAACAAGCGCATGCCACCTTCTGCGGAGCGGTCTATTATCGGTTGTATCTTGGGATTTAAAAATTGCATATCACCGTCACACTACGGGCAATTGATTGAGTTACGGAAAGAGATCATCTCGCCTCCGATATTCGGTTTTCCTTGAAAACGTTTTCTATACTCGGTTTTCTTTTGCTTTCCACACCGTATATTATCGTTTCTAATCGGATTTATTAATCGCATTTCGTATTTGGTTTTTGCGGTTCCTACATTCAGGTGTGCCTCTCGAAATCAAAAGGCTTGCGGAAGATCCAGAAAGATTTATATGTACGGTTAGTATCGCATAGACACGATGCATTAGTATGCAAACTAAGGGTCGGTGCTTTGGTTCAAGAGTTAAATATGATGATTCTTTATGCTGGTAAGGAAGATTTTATTAGTTTTACAATGGAAATTTACATATCAGTTGCGGTTTAATCATATCTTCTCCGCAGACATGCTAAAGCACTCCTTCGAACCAAACTGTTTCCTACATTGGCGTCCTAAAGATCGAATGCTTGAAGTTATGTCAAATGCTGGTCAAGCTATTAAGAAAGGCGAAGAGGTAGTAAGTGACTCGTGTGTTCTATAAGCATGTTCAGCTTCACTTCACAATAATGCTTTCAGCAGGTGACGACTAACTACATGCCAGGCCACAAAAACAACATGCCAAGCCACAACATGCTTATGGAAAGATACAGCGTCTCAACTTTTGTGGTAACTCGTTCTACTGCAACACATTTGTTTTACTCAGGAAATTGTACTTTGAAAGTTTGCTTATTTATGCAATTTTGTTGGCTTTGCTGCAAAATCCATGGGATGCTAAACCGTATCATGCTTGTTTAAGTAAATTGCCATTAGTAACAAGGTTACATAAACGTATATATAATTAACAAAATATGACTTTGTGGCAATTTAAATATAACTTTGGGGGTGTACTGAATTGAAACTGAAATTTGGGAAGATATGGAAATATTTGAGTTTTAATGAGTTTTTTAGATGATTTTAGGTGAATCAGAATTATTTTTATGATTTTTTATTAAAAAAATATGAAATGCTATCTAAAACTATAAAAATTTGATTTGATTTTTATTTTTTTAACTAACAAATTCCACCAATATCACTTAAAATCCTCTTAATTTACTACTTAAAATATTTTTAAAAACACTGAATTTGAATATATATTTTTAAATCACTAGTTCAATAACCTAAGATTTTAAAGGTCATTGTAAACTTCATGCTTGAATTAACATACGATATATCTTTTTAATACAAACCACTTAAAATTCCAGTTTGACGAAGCAAACAAAATTAATATGACTATGTATTTACCCGCGCTATGCTGTGGGATATTTTTTAAATTTTGTATATATTTTTAATATAATAAAATTATTTTTATAATGTAAATGAATATTATATTTTTTTCATTAGTTTAAGTTATGTATTTATATAGGTTTTAAATATATATAAACATTATCTATTTTTTATTTATTTATTATTCAAAATTATAATTTGCTATTAAATTTAGTTAGCTAACTAATTATAAATGTATATTAGGAATAAAATATATAAAAATAAAGCAATATATTTTTAGTACATTCATGCTAATGGCAAATGTAATCTATTTTCTCCAATCAATTGCCACATGATCCTTCTTTGTAGTTATATAAAGCAAAATGTCATTTAAAAAATATATTTATTAATTAATATGATTATTTTAAATTATAAAATTTATTTATTTATAAAATATCTTATTATAAATATATGTTTCTAAAACTACCAAACTATAATCAATAACATTCATATCAAAACAATTGCTATTGCTTTAGAACTAAATAGAAAATTATGTTTGAATTCTTAAAATATAGTTTTAGTTAAAGTTAAATAATTAAATTTTGGTTACTGTAAACATACTTTAACTTAGAAATTTAGCACAGAGAAATTTCATCTTCTTAAAAAAATCGAGAAATCGTATTTCCCGTCAAAACAAAAAAAAACTTCATTTTTCCATTAAACTGAGAAATCGGCTATTCCCGCCAAAACTAAAAAATTCCCGCGAAAACAAAAATTTCTCGTCAAGCCCAGAATCACGCTTTCCTACAAAAACAAATAAACTACAATTTTCCGCGAAAACCAAAAATTGCTTTATCTCCCGTGAAATTGTGTTTTCCCGCGAAAACTAAGAAATTGTTATGTTTTTATCGGTTTAAATTTTTGCTGATGTGTGAGCTTCTTATAACATAAGGCTTTTTGTGTTGTTGTCATGGAAGCATAGTTGATGCTGAGCCTACACTTTTTCAATCATATACGTCTATGTCAAACAAACTAATAGCTAGAATTTTTTTTTATTATTTATTTGTTGTTATTTATTATTTAGATTTGGTTTTGGCAGAAAAAAAAAATGATTTAACTTTTTATTTGTTTTTATTTATTATTTGGGTTTAGATTTGGCAAAAAATAAAATTATTAATTATTTGGGCTTGGGTTTGGTAAAAAATAAAACAAAAATTAATAGAAAAAATATTTGGGTTTTTAATGGGTTTAAGTTTAAAAATTAAAATAAGTAGATGAGATGTATTAATAAAATGTTTTGATTGATAATTATTTTTGCTGAGGTGTCATGTTTATAAAGCTTAAAAAAGCTGAGGTGTCAAGCCATGAAGAAACTTTAGTGTTATTGTTGTGTTGATTATAAAAAAAAAAAGAGAATATCATAGTTACAAAATTAAAATCGAAATAACTGTGATAGTCTTTTTTTTATAATCATATTAAAATTTCTTGTTTAACAAAGCAAACAAAATTAATATTCAATTTTAATATGATTATAGAATGCAATTTCCAAAATACTCGTTTGCTTCGTCATCCTTTTGCTAAGCATCTCCATCGTGAGCCATGCCAGAATCGCCAGTAACTACACCAGTCTAGCTGAACCTTCCAAAGAGATGCCACTCGAAACCTTCCCTCCTCCTGCTGGCTATAACACTTCTGAACAAATACTTTCCAATTTCTTTTTTTATCGACTCAATTTGTTAGATTTATGTTACTTATGACTTACAAATATTTCTTTTTATTTATCAGATTCATATAACGCAAGGAGATCACAACCGTTAAGCAATGATAATCTTGTAGGTAACATCGATAAACAATGGTGGTTCTAACGTTGTTAGATACTGACCTATGAATACTGACGAATGTACAAAGGAGAGCGCTGAAGCTTCAACGTCGTCCTACAGAAACATTAACAACATATTTTGTTATTCTAAAATACACTATTTGAAAGTTTCAATTGTTTCATTAGATTAATTACTAAAATCAATTAGAATTTGTTAAATATGAATAGTTTCATTTAAAAAAATTGTCATATGATATTTATTATTTAATGATTTTGGGTGAATTAGAATTTTTTTAATGATTTGTTATTAAAAATATATGAAATCCTACCTTAAACTATAAGATTTGAGTTTTTGAATTTTTAACTTACAAATTCCACTAAAATCACTTAAAATCACTCAAAATCCTCTAAATTCACTACTTAAAAATTAAAACTATTTCTAATAACATTGGATTTGAATGTATATTTTCAAATCACTAGTTCAATAATATGAGATTTTAAAAGTCATTTTAAAATTCATGTTTGAATAACATAAGATTTGTCTTTTTAATATAAACCACTTAAAATTTCAGTTTCAATACACTTTTAGAGATAACTAGTTATTAAGTATGTGCAAACCAAGTACGAAATGAAATGTCTTATATGTTATTAGAGAAATAAAATTTTAATACATTAGCGACATATTTTGTTATTCTAAAATATTATTTGAAAGTTTCATTTGTTTCATTGGATTAATTACTAAAATCAATTAGAATTTGTTAAACATAATAGTCTCATCCAAAAAAAATTGTCATATGATATTAATCATTTTAACAAAAAAGAATATTTACAATGATTCACCCTTGAAAAAGATGAACGAGAAAAAACCTAAACAATAGGTGCAATGGACAAAGAAATATAGAAATTAACTCACACAAAAGAAAGACAAAGAACAAAGGACCATTACACTAAAATGAGACAAAGAACAAAAGCCAAAACTGAAAAGCATGGAGACAGCTTCTTTCATGAAATTAACAGCTTCTTTTGGAAACTGAGGAATGC